CGCCAGGGAGGTGAAAACGTACCTGCTATTGTTAAACTGTTGATTGGTTGCTGTGGTCCCTTGGTTTGTTTCATGGTGGTTCATGTACCTGATGTTGTTCCAGGAGGTGTTTAGGTTTTCAGGTACTTCATAAAGGGCTAATGCACGTTTCGCCGTCATCCTGTCGCTCGCCCGTTTTTCGTTTTGAGCTCTGGAGATCTTTAACTTACCTGAACCTGGAGATGAGTCACAGTCCTGCACGCACGTCGTCAACCTGTCGCGTGATCGTCGATGCTATCGGTTTGGTCTACCTGTACCCTTAGGAAATGGTAACCTAGGCCGGCGTGTGGCACCGCTGTCAAGTCAGTACGCATTTCCATAAGTGTGTGGAACTTGCGTGGCGCACGCCACGTTGAATCCCTCACAAGATCCCTGAAGGAAACAGATGGAAACACAGACCAAAACCTCTGAGACACCCACTTCTGACATGACTAGGCCAGCCCCAAGACGCCGCAGAAGCTCCGCACGCCGGCGCGCCGGGTCCCGCATCGCCGGGTCCCGCATCGCCGGCGAAGACGGAGGCGGAGGCGGATGAAATGGAAAGCTCCAAGCAGCCGCTTGGACTTGATCAACGTTTTTGGTGTCACTGTTTTGTGGATCCCCTTGGCAATTTTCCCTATAAAATCATGGGGGTTGGGCACTGACAACACCATTTCTTTATACGCACATTTTGGTGGGCTAGTATGGAACATGTCACTTTGCTAAATGTTTTGTAGACTTTGATGGCCTATGATTTTGTAGAGAGATGATGTGTGTTTGGAATTTCCAAGCTTGTGAGCTGTGATTTTATAGAAACTCATGTTTGTCAGCATGATGTCACAAAGCGCGCGTCCGTGTATGCATTGGTCCATGCATTTTGATCAAACAAGTTGGACCTTGGGGAAAAGGTCTTCAACAAACCTACCTCTCTATAAATATAAAGCCAGGCGCTCAACCTTGAACTTTTGCTTGCTGGATTTGGATGCGCAGGTTTTGGGCAGGCTGGGGTATGCAATTCTATAGTGATTTTTTTTTTCTCCTTTGCTTAACTAGGTATTCCACGGTACGTGGGGGCCTCTGATTCCATAGACTTTTGCTGCTTTGTGCTACTTTTTGTCTACTTGGTCTTTGATTTTACAGGGATGGTTTTGGCTATAGAGGTCAGTAGTTTGAATTTTATAGAGTGCACACCCTTCTGGGAGGTTGAATGCTGCAGCTTTTGCACTATAAATTGCAATGCCCGACGTGTCGTCTTAATCTAGAAGGGGTTTTTTGTGGTGTGTTTTGCCGACTGGTTCGAGGTGAATTTCCGTAGATTGAATATGATTGAATGTGTGGATGTATTGTGGAGTTCAGGTGAATCAGCCCTTAATTGTTGAAGCCGGTAGCACCTGAATTGGTACCGAATCACTACCACATCCAGTGTTGAACTAGCGTCAACCTCTGTAGCATCCAGACAAAGCTTGTTGACGCCCGTGGCTTTGTATATTTGCCATGCAGAGCTTAATCTCTAGCCCTTCGTGCTGGACCTACCTGGATGACTCTAGGTCCTGGTATACAAAACAATCATGGAAGTAAGTGGAAAATGGCCCCTTGGATGGCCTTTTTCCTCTCCAAACAGGTGGTTTTCCACTTCCATGATGATTTCAGGGAGTGTACCCTTTTCCTTTGCCTTCAGGATCGAGGAACGTCCCGCACTCCTGCCCCAGCCAGTGCCGCCCGCCACGGCGCCGTCGGGCGGCGCCACGGCGCCCGCGTCGGTGCCCAACGGAGCAGTGTCTGGGTGGCAGGGACGTGGACGGACGTGGTCGAACGGAGGGCCCGGCAGACCCAGTGATCAACCTTTGCAAGTGCCCTGGATGGTTCTGAGCTTGTTGAGCTTGTTGATCCGCGTCCCGTCCACCGAGGATCCGCCGGTGTGGTCTTCGGGTCGCTGTTCGGACGGTGGGAGCCACTGATGCAAAACCGTTCTGGTACTACGGGGTTTTAGATAGGTTTTATCTTCGGGTGCTATGGGGTTTTGGTTGGGTTTTATTATATAAACAATATATATATATTTATATTTATATAATTCGTAAAACCTGCATATATTATATATATATACAGGTTTTATTCATCGGCTGTCCAGATGTAGAACATAAATATATAATAACAAAAGTTCTTCGTGTGTGGAGTTTGCCCGAAGTCTTTGAGACACCTCCCTGCGTCCTCAAAATGGTGTGGAATCTCATCGATATATAGGGGGATGCAGAAACATGGAAATCTGTTGTACCACTCAGTTTTCCAGAAGAAGTCGCAACCGTACTGAATCAAGAAACAAATTGACATCCCTGAATCTAAAATGCAGCATTGGCTACACACTATACTGATCATGGACTGGAGTGACTGGAGTCTTTGGGAAGCCTTCACAGGCACATCACCCCAAAATCCTTAGACTCCTTTGGAACAAACCTGAGAAGACCCCCCAGTACTTGGGGCACACCAACCCGGTGCTGTCCTCAGGTCTTCCAGATCCCGCAGGCCGCGAGCGCCACCCAGCTCCACAGCCGCCCGGCGCGCCTCGTGACGGCCGCCGCGGCCGCGGCGGCGGCCGCCGCCGAACAGACGGCGCTGGACGTGATGGGCGCCGCGGTGCGGGTGACGCCCGAGAATCGGAGCGAGGAGCGACGCTCGAGTCGAGATCGGGTGTGGGTGAAAATGACATGAAGCCATGTGGAAGCGCGTGCCGAAATCATGGGACGACGAGTTTGGGGGGGCATCGCGAAAGAAGATGAGCCATGTAAGTCACGGAGCCCGGCTGCAACGAAGCCCGCCGCAGGAAAGCAGATGGGCCACGTCCCGGATGTCCATTCGATCCGGGCCGCTGAAAGGCGGAACAGTGGCGGGGTTGCCAACGCGCGCACACCTGAAGCAGCGGCCCTTCAGTTATATACAAAAACTATTGTATAGTGGTGACCAGATAGATAGAAACGGTTTCCCCTAGCTTTTTGAAAGGGAGATAAAGGGAGTTTAGGTTTCTATTTTTGTGGTCCATGATAGACATTAATATCACGAAAGCTAGCATCAACTAGCTGGAGATAGTATCATTTTTGCAAAGCTGTTGGGTGGAGACTGGAATCGGCTACCCAGTGAATTATCTGCGGGTTGAACTCCCCCTGGGACATGTCAATGTCCCTTCAATTGTGCAGCGGCCTGGTGGGTTTGGATTGGTATCGAGCTTATCCACTTTATGCATCACTCACCATGTTTTATCATTTGTACAAGGCTTCATGTTTGTCTCCACGTTCTCTTTTATTTGTGTTCTCACCCATATTCCAAGAACGCATGCCCTCTCTTGTTTCTTCTTTCTCTCCTTTCTCACCTGGCCATGCTAGCTTTCGTCACCAACCCCCGGCGGCAAGTATAACACCAAAGTGGCCTGTGGTCTTGATACAGGTGTATATACATGTGTTTATATATATATATAAGCATAGAACTAAAGGGTGCCTCGATATGGGTGTGTATCTATATTCGACTCTTAATAGCCAGTGGGGACGGCCTTGAGCTGGGAACGAAGGGCTATTCATTCATTCATTGTCAAATTGTGAAAACATTGTTTGGCTTGTGTAGTACACACGGCCCACGGCATTATGTAGGTTGTCTAAAGATTACGTAATTCGCTACCTTGCTGTGTGTACAGTACCACTGGGGGCCCCTTAGCTGTAGGGCCCAGCTCATCCCCGCTTGCAGGGATATCTTCTGAAGCCAGCTTGGTGGAAGCGCAGAACACGAAGCTTCATCAGAGCCTTGGCAACTTCCGTTCCATTCTCCCACATCTGATGGAGGTGATGGGTGTGGGTGAAAGTCACTCAAAACCCATGGCAACTTAAGTCCTCAGTTCATTTTCATCTTCAGGTCTTTGCCTGTACAGGTTTTCGAAAAGGTGATCAGCTGGGTTGCCCTGCATGGATCTGGCATGATGTGTCCATCCACATACTGAGGATGCCCGTGATGGGTGGTGGCCCTGAACTCAGAATGGGCCTTGGGCGGCCTTGGGCCTTTGATCTTCGCAGAGCCATGATCTCGATCTACGAACCAATACAACAAGTTGGTCTTCAACTAGAGCTGGGCTTGCGAGCACCTCCGCCCAGTTTCAAATGTTTAGTGGTTTGTTTCCATTCACCAAGGAACTCTTGTGATATAGAGCACCTGCCCTTCTTCCCCGTGAGCCCAAGCGATGCCATGGTTGGATACTTACAGCGCCTGTTGCGCTGACATTTTCCTACTTCATTTTGTTCTGCGGGTATAGTAGAATGCCTGGAAGCGAACATCGGTGCACGGTCTGGACAGGCTTGAACGAGGAGAGTCAACGCCATCATCGGCGTTCAGATGACAGAACGCGCATTTCATGGTCTCGTGTCATGTATAAGTCAAAGGGGTTTGATGCGATTAGGGGCGTGCCCTTCCTTCTATGGTCAGCGATGTGTTCCTTCCCAAGTCTCCAGTTCCTCTTGCTCAACTCTGTAACAGTGTTGATCCAGCTGAAATCTGTCAAATCAAAGTGTCCACTCAAGGTACGGAGCCGCAAGTCCTCCTAAACACCCCCAAATCTTCAGGATCTTCTACCCTTCTCAGCTTTACTCCACCAATCCTCCAAAACGCCGCCATCGACAGGTCTAGCAGTGTCCACCCCGGTGGCGGCTCCGATGGTTGCCGCCGCTGAGCCCACGACCACTGCAGCCACCACTGCCACCACTGCGGCGACCACCGTGGCAGCGACCACGGCGGCAGCCACCACGGCAGCAGCCACCACGGTGGCAGCAACTACGGAGGAGGAGCTGGAGACGACAGAAGAGGAGAGTGACCTGGGAATGCAATCTGAATTAGGTGTTTCATGATTCTTCACAATGCTCTAAGTGGTTGGATCATAGCACATTCTTGACAGGTGCTTTTGCAGGCTACCCATTTGAGACAAGTACAAATTGTGCTGGTTCTTGCTTCATGTGCCATGTATAGTTCATGTTCTGTCCGTTGCCAATACGACTCGGGGCAATTCTGCACCAAGGGCGGTCAAACACGTTGAACATTCTGTGCGTATAGCTCATGCTAACCTATCACTACGTCACTATGTACTTCCTTCATCTTCCTTCACTTTCGGATATGTTTGCTTTTGTCGTGCAGTGCATGCCATTGGCGAGGGTCTATCTAAAGCAAGGATTGTGGCACGCCAATCTGAACTCATTAGGCTTCATTCGGCTTCATGGATTGTAGACTTGCTGAATCTGAAATCCGTTGCATCGGGTTTCCCAAACTGAGCCAAGGTGAAGAGAAAGAAGAGGAGGCTGAAGAGAAAGAAGAGACTGAATCCGACGAATCAGTGACTTGTTCTGGTGAACGTTCAAGAATGGGCATGGGAGAAACCAGGATGCACCTAGCACTTGAGCCCACATTATATATTGTTTGCCTCACAGATCTTGGTTTTCTAGCAGGTGGAACAAACAGCGTGGCATTTGATTCATCTAATTCTCACCTGTGCCGGCACATGTAGTAGGGAGGATCTCTCCCGGAGAAAAGCGTTACAATCCGCCATCCGCTGCGCGACTTTGAGAAGGGGACGGTACTTTCAGGAATTGAACCAAACGAATAATTGTTTCAACAATTCCCATACACTCCATGTATGCCATATATGCATACATTGACCCCTCAAACCACCCCAACTGATCGGCATCTATGGCATATATGGAGCGTCTGGGAATTGGCATCCGCTCAAACCTTTTGAGGTTTTTGTCGTGCATCCCACCCGATCCCCAAACAGTCGATGGATCACAGTGGTGCCATCGATGGTCGCTGGTTGCATCGCGCATCGAGCCGGGCATCGAAGGTGGGAAAAGCCGCCCGGGGCCTCAGATGTGAGCTGGCCAGGTACCACCTGCGGAGCAGAGTGATGAACTGGAAGTTTTGGGAACTGGGCTATTTTGAGCTAGAGAGTATGGTCAGATGAAAAAACCATTGGCCGCTGACTTCCCCACCAAGAGTCAGATTTGGTTTGGAATTGCATTTTGCTGTTCACTGTTGGCATGCACTTTCGGATCAAACATCCCAAGAGTTGGAGCATCAAACCTGTGCGAGGTTGGATTCTTTTTCAGTTTCCGCAGCATCTTTGCCTATATGTGAGCATCGCTCGAAAAAGCAGTCGTGAATACAGTAGGTCCTGCAGATGCTTGCATAGCCGCTTGTTTGCAGGAGACTTCCTTTATCGAGCAGCACTACTTGCTTCTGGTGGGCGCCGCGATTGGGCCGTGAACACCCAGCAAGGGAGAGGGAAACGGGTTGCTAAGACGTCTAAGAGGATCCAAGGTCACCAGCGACGTTTTGGAGTCGGTGGATTTCTACAAGTCAGGCAACACTGTTTGGTTGAACTGATTGCACTAGAATGCCACGCTCGCCGTGATTTTCACGTGGCCCAAGATTATCACTCTTTGGGCTTGGAGAGGCCACGCTGAAGCAACAACCAGGTTCATGGATTCTATGTTTTGGGAAAAGCAGAGGAACTGAATAAAATCCGGCGTCCAAGCCCATGAAGAAGTCGGGATAACCAGGCGAAGGCTTCGCCTGGGATAACCAGGCAGGTGCATGCAGGCTGCGTCAAAAATACGGTACGTGTGAAAAGCGGTGAAAAACCAGATTCTTCATGTTCAAAGCATGTTGGGAAAACCACATGTCCTTTTCAGGTTCTTCATGGGATCGTCATGTTCAACGAGACCTTTTTGGGAAAACCTCCCCCGTCTCACCATCCCATGACCTGCCGGAGCCGTGGAGCCGACCGTGGTGACGCTTTGATCGTGGACCGTCGACCGAGGCTGGTGACGCTGGTGGTGATAGGCGAGGGAGCGGAAACGCGGCCGTGGTCCGATCTGGAGAGGTTTAAATGTTTCATTCCAAAGCCATCCAATGAGCTTTTGGAGCATTCTGGAGACCCATACACTGTAGTGGAGCTTTTTGTTGAGCTTTTGTATGTTCCTTCAAGTTTGATTTTTGGAGTGAAGGATTATTGGCACTTCTTTGTGCTTGATCCCCCACTGAGGCTGGTGGTCCAGTCCCCTTTTTTTCTTTGCCACCGACAGCACACCTGGGCCACATGAAGCGATGGGTCACACGAATTCGGAAGACCTGTGGTATTATACTACCATATGCTACAAATGTTCTTATAGGAACTTACTTGCAGGGTGCGCGCAGTGGTGGGCGCATCTGTGAAAATCGTGCCCACTGGTGCTGTGTCGATTCGTCTCCCACGGCCGTTCAGCGCTTCGCAGCGCTTCGCTTGCTCGGCCGTTCGCTCGGCCAGGCGCCATTTGCTGCTGCCGTAGATGATCGGTCCGGACCCTTTCTCCGGAGTTTCCCCGGCGAACAACAGCAGGGCTGGCGAGTTCGGTTTCACTGCAACCGTCCGAAAGAGGTTCAGATACAGACTTTCTCTGAGTAAGCAGCACATTGGAGACCACCTGCTGCACTTCATGTGTTGTTTTTTGGGGGGAGTTGTGGGGGAGCTGCAGACGTCTATCAGTCATGTCCTGCTTCCTTGAAGCCAACAGGGGTGTTGCAAAGGTAGATTCTCTTAGAAACTCGATGTTAGATCAATCTTGAATATTCTAGTGCAACTTTATGGAAGGACAAGAACTCCAATCCCTGCAGGTAGAAATTCGTTTTTCTTTGGTTCGGATATCGATAAAACAGACGAACGAAGTGTTCCTCCTCCTTTTGTCATGACTTCTTCCTGGAAATCCAAACAACCAGAATGAAAGTACACAGTACCATGGTTGTTCCAATACGGCAAAAAAGAGATCCTTTGCGTAGGAAGTGGGTGTTTGGGGAGAAATCCAGGAAGTTTCATTTTGTTTCTGCCTGGAGTCTCAGTTCGTACCTCGGAAAATGGGTACAGTCGTACCTGTTGAAATATGTGGTCATGTCCCATTTTCTAATTTCCAGGTTTGCCTCAAGAAGGCCCTTTTGAGTCGGAGAGGAAACCCTTAACTTGCTGTTCCTGACCTTTCGCCTCACCGCTGCTTTGACAGTATCCAGGAAGTATGCGGATCACCTGCAAATCCTTGCAACACGTTTTTGGGGAGTTGGCGACGCCCTCACTCAAGGTGCAAACAGGTGGAGAAAGGTAACTGTCACCATTTGTAACCCTGTTGTTTTTTTCCCGCAGGGAAACTGAGCGAGTCAGCTTGAGGCAATCCCTGGAGCAAAACAACATTATGTTCCAGGATCGTTTTGCTTCGCAAGACCGGGCTTGCTGTCCTGGGTGTCCAGCCTCCATGCTCGATTGCCGTAGACGGAACAGCAGGGTTAGCTGCGAAAAAGGGAGGGTGGTGAGCTGCAGGATTGCATGCAGAGCATTAAGGTGATGGGGTGCCTTGAGGGAAGCAGATGTTCTGAAACAGACTTGGAACTTGGAACTAAACTGTTTTCACACCTCAGGTCGCCATACTGTTTCTGTGTTTCCCACAACCCTTCAAGGGCAGCTGCGTTAAACCAGGGCACGCTGAAACATGTTTGTTGCAGTATTTGCTGTCGGCCTTTATGTGTTGCAATTGTTTGGCCCTTTAGTCTTTGGTCAATTGTTTGGCCCTTTAGTCTGCTGTTTGGCCCCAAGTCGATGGGCTACAAAGCTGCTGGAAGTTTAAGAGCCATGAGACATCCTTCCATAAGAACTACGCGCAGGATGGCCTGGATCTCCTGTATCTATCTCACTTGGGAGGTCGCTGCCAGTGGCTCAAGAAAGCCATGTTTGTCAGTGATCCATTTTCTAACAGGCCAAAACACCAAAAACAAACACAGATACTTTGCACAGAAAGATCGAGTTCTGAATTATTCAGAGACAATCTATGTGCTGACATATTTTTCAATGTCAGCAGAATTTGCGTTCCTGGAGCCTCTTATGTAGTGACACAATCCTCACCCCAAGGAGAGCAAGAAAGCATACAATGCATACAGTTGCCACACCTAGCAGATCTTTCCCCGTTTCATACGGATTACATGTAGGCCGACAAAGCGTGTTTGCAATAGTAGCTTCTTGTTACTAGTAGTAATGGCCTCCAACCTAATAGCGATGGCCTCCACCTGGTGGCTTCTTGTTACTAAGTAGCATATTGTTCAAAAGCAAAGCGGATCTCGAGGCTCTGAAGAGGGCCCTTCACCATTCACTTCGCTGATGAGCTAATGCCGCGATGTGGGGCGTGCGCAGTGTGGTTGGGCACCCTGGAGTGACGAGAACAGAGTGGCAGTTCCAACTTATGTCAGGACCAAATCCATGAGGTCAGGGATGGAGATGCAGGGATGGAAGAGGTGGTTCTTGTATGTTCTTGTCATATTTTGTCATAAGCCGTCCTGTATGTGGTCGATGGATCAATTCTCCTCCCTTCAACTGTAACCACATGTTGCCACAGCTGTGGCTGTTTGAGCGTCCGCTGGAGGATGGCGATGAGGAGGCCGCTTTGGCACGAGTCGAGGTGCCAGTTGAGTGGGGAAGATCGTATCAAGCACCAAGAGTGTCAAGCATAGCCCAGGGTCCCTGCATTGAATGAATTTTAACACATGGACATTGACCTTTGAGTGAAACCACCCCAATGTCAAATATGCCAGGCATGGAGTGTTTGGGGTAGGTGCAAAAATGATATGAACGTTCATAGGTCATAGGACGAGTGTTTGCAGTTTTGGAGCCGCTTTGCCCTGATGCCTCGCAAACTCATGTTTTGAGTTGTCAGTTCTACCGATCAGTTTGGTCATGGATGAAACATCATGATTGACTCTCATGCTTGCGAAGGCATGCATATCTATCCCTTTTGTCACCTGCTGTGCTGCATTGCTCTTTGTGATTTATATATATATATATATCCTAAGCATTGCAGGGGCTCAGACGGGAGTGCACGTGTAACCGCCAAGCTCCTTTGACAAGAGGGAGGAGGTCCGTACAAACCTCTTTTGCTCGATTTGAGGAAAACCATTTGCAGCATTGAACTTTCTTCCTGCTTCTTTGCGAGCTTTCATGCGGTGAGTGCTGTCCCGCACTTGTCAAACAACGTCGGTCGTGGTGTATTGGTGTATGGACCAATGGAGGCTAAGCACCGACCAATGGAAACGACCACGAAACGACCGACGTCTCAAGAAACGACCGACCAATGGAGGTGACGACCATGTCGCGGTGACCGGTGGTGCTGGCGCCGAGGTTACGAACCCATGAACCTGCCATTCAAGGAACTCCCACGAGATGACCAACATAGAGCCTGAACACGAAGCCCCGAAAGCAGCAGGTTTTTCCATGTGACGATTTGTTTTGAAGGATCCTCCGAATCCCCAAAATTTTGAGTTGGCGGGCCTGAAGTGGTTCGAGTTGCAAGTTGACCCATCAACTTGGAAGTTCATTTGGTCCAAAACCATTCCCTTCACCGGATTCCAGCTGGATATTCAGCTTGGCGGTGAGGTTATGGTCTGTGGTTGGATCCGGCCAGGCTTTGACGGGATCCAAGAGCAGCCTGGGAGGAGACGCCAGACGCGCACGCGATGGGTGGACCGATCTTATCGGAGTGGAACTCCTCCTACCCAGTGGATAACGTGGGGGGGGGGGATGGGGCTCCACCAAGTCAAATCCAACTGGAGAAAGCTGTCTTAATCATGGAGCCTGCAGCCTTTCCAGGGAAACGAGCTGCAAGACTGATTATCCACTGGCAGCTTTCTGAGGTGATGGAATGAATGGGCAACCAAAGCTCTGAACTTGTTGAGGACGGAGATTTGCAAGACTGAAGAAACTTCCTTGAGTTCTTCCATGACCCACTAAATAGTTATTTGGAAGAGGGGTTACCTAAGAGAGGGGGGCCTGCAGGGCCCTATCTAAGGCAGGAGTCATGTTTTTCCTGGAATTTTGCCAGACCCCATATTGACCCTTACCCGCTCCGGGTACTTGGAGTCAGCAGAATCAGGTCTATCAACGGTTTCCCCTACCTTGGACACAAGTCACACCTTTTTCTATAACAGTCAGTAAACAATGTTTAATCACTATTTTTGGACAAGGCCTTCAGTAACCATTATCATCCACTGTTACCGGTAATGGGAGTGATCCAAAACATCATCAACTTTAAAATTGTTTTGGCAACTCCAAGTGTTGAGATCAACTTTTTCATTGCAGTAGCCAAGGGGTTGGGATAAATCAAGGAAGCCTATATATATATAATATAGATTTTAATTTAATGTTGCAAATGCGGACTTCTTGTAGCAGTCCTCTAGCATCAGGTAGATGATACATCATGATTGATACTGTGAGTTTCCGTGTCGGTATCAAGTGACTGCAGTAATTAGAGCAATCATGGCCCAATCAGTTCTGCCCTTGGGATAAAACACCTCCACCAAAACTGGACTCCCCCCTGGCCAGCAACAGGTGTTGACTGAAAGCCTAAAGCATCTCGGAACATCGCATGGATGTGTTGCTTTTGGTTTTCCCACGTGCGAAGGGCTCAGCACGTGTCCTGGGTCCATGCGTGTCCTGGGTCGGATCCCTGGCGCACCGGATCCCTTGCGCCCGATCCAAGCGCCCGGAGCGCGCCACAGGCGATGTGCCAAGGCTCCAGGGCTGGGGTGATGGATCACCAGGGCTTTGGCTTAGAAAGAGCAGCGGAAAGATGTGCCATGACTCTTCAGTGTGGTTCTATCTAGCAGGTGGGTTGTGGGATCGCGTGTGCTACAGGCACATGTCAATTGTTTCTGTTGAGTAAACATCGACGGGGTTAGGGAGATGTGGATTTGGGGGCTCCCTTTTTGAATTGAAGCGCGTGTGGTACTCAGGGCAGGCTGAGGTGCAATAGTTGGCAGATGCTTCAAGACGTACAAACCCACGAATTAATTCCGGAGTGACCAAGCTAACTTTCATATACTTCCACGTCCAGGTCCTGGGCTTGGAAGCTGTTGACACCACTGATGAGTAAACATCACTTCACTCAACTTCGGTTTGGAATTGCATGTGATGATGTTTGTTTTGGGGTTACCACTGAAGTTAGGTCCCACAAAAACAGGCCTCTCGAAGTTGCAGGTCAATGGCTAGTTGCACCAACACGTTGCTGGTTATTTTGGACATCCAGCATCTCCGGAGCATCCATCCACTCGGAGCCATGCACATCCAGTGAACAACCCAAAGGCGCTTTTTAACACAATGGAAGGGTCAGTGTTGTCGGACACGCGGCGCAAACATTTGGGGCAGATGGGAGACTTTTTTAGACACCATTCGCACCGCTTGAAGGTTATGTTTGGGAGCGTAAAAACTTTTCATCTTGGGGAATTCACCAAGAGTCTACATTCTGTGGATCAGTGGATCATCGATCTCCACGAATTGACTCCCTGACCGTTTCCGAAAAACGCCGAACGTCGGCAGGCTCGCGCGGGCTCGGCGACGCTGCACCGACCGGTGCTGCAGCGTGGTGCTCTTTGCGTTTCTCTTTGGGATGTGGTGCGCTCCGGTTGGCGCGGTTGGGGCGGTAGCAAAACCCGCGCGGCTCGGTTTGCGCGGTGGTAATAGGGTGGCACAGATTTCGGTGGAGGGTAGAGTCGAGGCGTGCATGGTCAGTGGGGTAGTCCGAATCGACCTACTGTACTACTACTACTACCACCACTACTACTACCACTACCACCACCACCACTACTACTACACCTTCAGAACTGGTAGTCATAATTTGTTTTAAAGGGCCTTTGGAGAAAAAACACCTCCACAATCGCCCGATCCGCGTGTTACTGGTGGAGATCAGACCGGCCAGGTCTGTCTATCAGCATGCCTTGAAGGAAGGGAACCTCGCCAAGCTGTGCCTGGGCGTTCTTCATTTTCCGCTGTCCGTTCTCGTTTTGAGGTGGGGAAAGCGTTAGATCATGTAGACTCTTGATTCATGAAGAGGCTTAATGGAAGGTTTATGAATCAAGAGTTTGCATTAAGGGGTTCCAAAGGGGCCTGATTCGTCGCACCGCGCCTTTCCACTCACTGGTTTGTTTTTTCCAAGTGATTCTAGGCTTCCAGTGTGCTTGTTCTAGACCACGCGTATCCATCCACGCATGAAGCTTTTTAAACCACCAGAGATGGGCTACAGCGGCTACGATCCTTAGTGTGCAAGCACGGCGAGCCCGTGGATGGCAGCCTTTAGTCTCAAGCAGTCTGAGGCCTCGACGCGTAGGACATTCATTGGCTCACATGGGGCAGGGATGAGATGTAATGCAGACTCTTGATTAATAACTCCCCCAGTTAAGAGTCTTCTTCCGGGCAATGCCACACTTTTTCCCAAAAGATGTCACAGTGCTGTGGTCTTTCGTGGCTGTGAGTCAATATCTCCAAACCATGGGAGGTTGACATTGTGTTGTAAACCCGGGGTCAACCAGGGACCCCCAGGTTTTGACCCTCAATTGTACAGCCAAGATCAGCCCAGTGTCTCGATTGATTACCCTTAAGCCTTGAGGCAAGGACTTCATGTCAGAAGTCAAGTTGACGGAACAGAATACTTTGTCCCACATGACCATTCAGTCAAGAGGCCATTCAGTCGGAGCAATGGTTCAGTAAAGGATAAATGGTCCAAGACATTTAGCATTTAGTATTGGGAGGTTCCATCCTGAACTGGTGTCACTATGAACCGCTATCAAGATCTTATTCGCCTAGCAAGCCCAAATTTTGGGGCACCAGTCGTGTCACACACACACACATATATATATATATATTATATCACCCACGCATCGGACGGATCACCGCGACGATGGCATGCAGGATTCTCTGATCCTAACATGCGAGAGCCCCGAAAATGCTGTACATCTAAGCAGAGACAAACGCAGTCCGCCACGACTCAATCGTGCGTCCTGCTCCGTGACACAAGGTTTGAGCAATGAACAAGAGCGTATCGTCAGCAATCCATGGAACTGCGTGGACAATGGCGCTCTGAGGAAGAACTCGTCCGTTCTAATATATAATATATAATATATATATATATATATAATGGCACTCATTCCCCATGTTTTGTTCGATCCTTCCGTTTGGGATGCGGACCCAACTCCTCCCCCCCCCCGCAGCGGCTTGAACTCAGAAGCCGCGGCCCCCTCTCAGGACCCGTGGCTTTGATTGGACTGGGGCCATTTGTGGGGTGGACGAGGCGGGCCTCACGTGATCTCACGTGGAGGACCGATGCGGGGCCGACGTGGGGCTGAAGCCCGTGGACACCGGTGTCCCACGTGAAGGTTGAGGATGCTTCAACTATGCAGGATCATTTGCGTAGATGGATGTGAAGGTTGCAACCTGCCAGGCATGTGCAACTGAATTGCATTTGGTAGATTTTTGTAGATGATCTCATGTAGACCTGGATGATCCTGGATAGCCTTTGTGGCACTTGTGCCTCCAACATCGTCTTGGGGGCACCATCTCTTCGCACGCTCGTCTGGGCTCCAGCAGGCCGTCCGAGACAAGCCCTTTCTCTTTTGGTGCACGCCCAACCGCAACGAGGCAAGACGCGTCGCGACCCGGTCGACCGGTGGTTGATCGTTGGGCCACAGAGAAGTGCCAAGAAGATCGGTTCAAGAGTGATATCCTCCAGGATAGGCTTTGTTGTATGGATGCAGTGGCTGAGTGTGTTGCTGAATTCCCTTCAAGGCCCCCTGGGCCAAGTTTGAAGTCCTAGCACTTGGCTACTCACTCAATAGGAACAGGTAGAAAAAAGGATAATTTTTCCCTCAAAACTGAGAGAGTCAGATGTTAAAGACACCATGGAGTGACGCGCTTCGATTGCCTTGACTTGCCGGAGGCCTTCACGTTGCTGGATGGCATTTGCGTATCACAATGCCCTAGCGACCCGTGACACGCTTGAACTCATTCCGCTTTTGCTAGTAGCAAGCGATGCGCTTGTTACAATATTGTTACTAATAGCCACGCACTTGGAGGTGTCTAGAGTCTATACTATACATAGCCTCTTGGTGGTGAATTACGTTAATTAAGAGGTATCCGAAAACCATCGAAAACCACCGGACTTGGAAGGTCCTGGTAGGAGTCGCGCACTTGGATTGATACAATCTTGCCTGAGGGAAGTGGGACTCGCGCGGGCGGCCTCGCAGCCTCGCTGCGGCCAACATTGCCATCCCAGGATTTGATGCCGATACCTTGGTTGAACTGATTCGATTTTGGTGGTTGGTGGGGCCAACATTCAGCCCAAAGACATGTTGTATGGGGAGCCGCGCCTGTGGCCGCCCCCTGCGCCACTGGCACCCGGCCCTGCGCCACCTGCTGCGATGGCAGGTTCTGACAGGGAAATCTTCTACTGCCCTGGTCGTGCACTACCCTTTCAGGCCGTGGCAATGGCAGAAGGGGCTGGTTCTGGTCCGCCAGATCCTGTTGTGTGAAGATGTTCTTTGACATTTTGATTTTCAAAGGCTTGAGGCATGGTTTTGTCATATCTACTGCACTTTTTGGTTCCCATGTGAATGTGGGAGCCCCAGATAGTCATGTCCCCTGCAGAGGAAGTGCATCGTCCAATTTAGACACATTGTCACATTAGCAGTGTTGGTGAATTGTGCAACACCAATGCGCAGAAAAGGTGTTGCACTGAATAAACAGGATGACTACCTATGACTACCATTCATATCAATTGAATTGACAGCCCAACATCGAGATTCCAAGAACATGCATGTGCAGGTGGGTGCCACCCTATTGGCACAAAGTTTTTTGCAGTGCAATCTAGAAGCAAACGTTCCTGCCTTTGCGTGTATTGAGCTCGCGCAGGTGAAGCAGTACCTGGATGCTGGTGTGGTGCTCATGCTGATTTCGAATCGATGGTCCTGTCGTTTTGGATTGTCCAAGGCAACAAGCACAGCTTTTACCCGTGTTCGTTTTGGGTCAGTTCCTCAACCCAAAGTGCTGCATTGTGCAAAGTGAACACCACATGACGTATACAGTATATGATAAAATATGCATAGTTAAATGTATAACTTATATTTACATATTATTATGTTTGTTATATTTTATTACAGTATATCATCAACAAAACACTTCTGTGAATCTGACATTCGAGTCATGGGTCATGTCATATGTTGGATCCGCAGGTGGTAACTGGATGAAGGCTACAACTTGGGTCTATCCCATGACCAGCAACACTCGGCAAAGAGATATTCACTGAGAAAGGCCTTTGCTAACGATCGTCATCCACTGTTGCTGGTAATGGGATATGCCCAAGCTATAACTTTCATGTGTCTAAGATGTTTCTGCATCATTTCACGCTCAGGCCACGAGCGCCAGGAGGCAACGATCGCAACTCACCGCGGGTACGATCGGCGGGGGAACCTTCGATCGGCACCTCAGCAGACTCACAGCCCCACTAGTTTGCATACCCCTGCAGACTAACATGGAAGTGGAATTTTCACCCGATGTTCAAGAGCATGTTCCTCTACAACCCAGTGGGTTTTGAATGGTTTTGAGGGTACGTCACCCTCCTCCGCTGCCTTTCATGTCCTAAACCCTAAACCCTCCGTTTTCGGTTGGTGTTTGGATCGGATGCATGCATAGGAACTCGACATACAGTGGATTGAGAGTAGATGGCACAAACCCACTATAATTCAACCTGTTATAACAGTGTTAAAGGGACATTTGTTTGATGTAGTGCTGAGGTGCAGCAGTGCTGGCGGGTTCACACCCAGAGCCCATGGAACATCATATAAAACCATTGCTCTGGTGGTGGAAGGATCTAGGACCTACTAGGAGACCACATGGTAGAAGGGATTTCACACATTCTTACACCACAACACTGGGATTGAATTCAAAATCTGTCGGGGCTTAGAAGCTCAGCGTTCTGCGCTAGGTTGTCATCGGCATGCGCTGGAACATCACCACCAAGCGCAGCTATCCCAGCACCGAGGTGCGAACATTCTTCACACACCGACCGTGCGATCTGTGCTAATCGGCCAGCCGGGGGGCAACTTCACCACCGACCGTGCAGATCGGGGGGTTCGGTGAATTCCAGTGCCGTACGTGGATCCCAGTGGTGCCGACTGCGGTCCGGCCGTACGTGGACCCGTGGACCCGTTGGATGTGTTCGTTTCATGTTTCAAGCCTAAGCATTCATTCAGCCGTCCTGTCTCATAGGATTTGGGGGTGACTCCTTGGGGTTGCGTTCGGTCTTGGTGTTTTTTTTTCTCCGTCCTGACCGAAGAAACAATGAAGGCGCCCAGACAAGCACCAAGACAATCCAAGACAAGGATCATGTACTGTAGATTGACTGAAGAGATCCATATCCATTTCAGCGTGTGTCCAGCTTCCTGAAACTGAAGAATTCCCAGGCTGAGTCTTAAGTTTGCAAGAGCACTTTCAGGGACGTTTGAAGCTCATCCCCTCCGGTGAGTCGAGTCAACACGGAAAAGAATACCACCATAGCCATATAGCATCCAAAATCGTTGCCCAGAGTCCCGAATTTGATGGTCGAGTCGTGACGCTGTATACAATAAATAGTCATTACAATACTGATATAAAGTCATGACAATTTACAATACTGCTCCTGTCATCCTGATTTTAGCCATTGGCTTTGTTCATCCCTCAGGTTTTGCCTATAAACTCAGCCCGCAGGCGTTCGGCTACTGCTTCCCCACAAGGGATCTGGCCACTAACTCAGCTGAGGAGACCTCACCGCCAGAGCTCCCCCAACCCCAGCGGAGGAGTCAGCGGAGGCCAGCGGAGTTCTCCGAAAAAGGTCCCAGCAATGGGTTTGGGGTGTCTAGACTTTCTTAAAGAACAAGTGAATCCTCCGGGCACCCTCTGGAGGAAACAATTTTTAAATATTTTGTTGGATCAATTTTGAGAGGTTCCTAAGTCAAAGGCTAAGTGAGGCAGAGATGCAGAAAGGCCCTGGCGGAAGATCCAATGGCAGCCTGAGGCAATGCTGCGCAGTGTCACGGAGCGGACCTATGTAAGGGGGCCCCGAGTTCGAAACATTGGAGGGTGATACAGCAGCTGGGCGATACAGAAGCTTCACAGATGAGAGATTCATATAAGACACTTTGCCAATAATAAGTTATAATCACTTGTTGGCATATATATATATAATTATATATATATTACCTAACTAATCATAGCTATACTAGACATGCATGAGAGTCTCCTCAGTTAGAATCTATATGTCTAGGAGTTCGTGCAGGCTAGAATTCCAGCCCGAATCCATTCAAGCAGTATTTGTGCCGGAACAATGGTTTTCATGCCCGACCGTGGACTTCTCGCCCGAATGTGTTTTTGCACATTATCGATGCATTCTCCGGGTGATGAATACATGCAATGCAACATGAGTCTACAAAATCTGCCGGATCACATGAATTCTTGCACGGGAATCCACGCCAGAATCAGGTTGGTTCTCGCCCGAATTGAAACTTCTACAATTGATTCAACACAAACTACAGATGTGCAAAAGAGGTGCCTGGTGAGTGATTTGCAAATATTTGCAACATTTGCCCTTCATAGGGATTCTGCCCGAATAGCGGCCGTTTGGTAAGGACATTTATTCTTTTGAACAGGCAGAAATTTGAGCCTGAAGGGCCAGTATTAGTATACATCAATACCATTCATGGAATGTTTGGGTTATATTGTGTGTAATCATGTCTAAACATGTCCAGGGTCGGTTGCAGGGTTCTTAACATACTTTAACGAGCTTTCAGCAGCATCCTTGAGCAGGCAGATGAATCAATAGCGAGATGATTCCCCACCTGCTACCTGCCCCATGGTGCTTGTAGTTGCATGTCTTTCATGATGCCCAAAGCCTCGTATGCCTCGTATGCCCATGGCTCATCATAGCTCCGCGTTCTGGACAGTTCAGTCCCGGGTCGGTTTACCCTGCTTTACCCTGTCGCGTTGCTCGTGGGAGGTCGGATTCACGTTCCTCCATGGTCCTTCTTCCCACTTCTGGTTCTTCTATCAATGTCCATCAGCAGAAGCAATGCAACATGCTTCCCGCGTCTGTTCTTCGCGTCGTTCGATTCGTTGGACCTTTGCTAAGCCGACGAGACGCGTACCCCTTGCTGTGTACCTTTGACATGGCCTACCCGCTGAAGCGACGATTCTCCCATTGAGGTGTTTGGCTTTACGAAGCAAGTGGTGCTGGCAGGCAGCGCACAGGAACCTGTGAAAGGAAGTGTTGGGCGTGTGCTGAATGACAAGACACCATCCCACTCAAACTGATCCAATCCTCAAACCACTCTTATGATTCTTATGGGATTCTCAAATGAAATATTTGACATATTAGTCTGAAGGGGTCGGTCTCTATACTAGCCGGGGCAGGGGTGTTAAAAAATATTACACCATGCACGGTGGATTAGTGTCCTAAAGCAAATCCAGATCCCAAAAGCAGAGGTCCTGGAGGACTTTGGTCCATTCCGCAAGAAGCGTGATTTGGAACAGACTCCCGAACTTGTTCTTGTCCCTACAAGGGCTGAGTCCAAGATAGTCAAAGAGTATGAGTGCTCCTCCCCCCAAAAAAGAGAACTCAGCTTTTAATATGGTTTAATCAAATCGTAAAATGCAAAAAAATGACTCCCCCCTCCTCCAAAAGATAGGGAAGGCAACCCGGGCCTACTAGAAGGCTCTATGGCCCCTATGCGAAGGGTATGTGTGCCACCGCCATGGTGTCCGCTGATTTGTCGAGGCCAAGGCGCGGTGGAGAGCTGGCGCTTCCTGGCCAGGGCGCTCAGGGGCAGCAGACGTGGGGGAGCAGCGCGTGGGTTGAAGGAGACCCCGAAGAGCGTGCCAAAGAGCGGGCTAAGAAGATCAAAATAAATCATCATAATATGGGGTTCTACATGCTTAACTAAACTGTGTAGGTAGATAGATCGATAGATAGATAGATAGAGATACATATAGATAGATATGGCTACATACATGCATGCATGCATCCACACATACACATACACATATACATACATACATACCATACCATACCATACCAT